AAAAAGACGAACTCTATTATTATTATTATTATTATTATATTCTCTTGACTTTGACTGGTGCATTAATTCTTCAAAGAAAAAAATATGGTAACAAAACACTCCCAAAAACATATTAAATAATTCAAGCCATTATTTCATAACAGGGTGCTAATTTGCATGTGACATGCGCTAAATCAGATGAACCGTATAACATGGCCACATACAATGTGCCATAAAAAAGTGCTAAACTCAAGCTAAAAAAGTGCAAAGTTCTTCAAATATTCATCAACAACTATAAAAAGACAGCTGATTTATTGTCAGAATTTCAAATTCTGAGCGTTTATTATTGGGCTTCCTGTGTTGTAAATATTACATTTTCCTTCACCAAAACACAAAGTTAAGCAACGTTCCCCAATTTTCAAAATAATTTCGATAGTACTTTTATAATATACATTACCTAAGTTCTTATAAATTAGCTGGAAAGTGGTGGGTGTGAAAACCACTGAAATGTTGTACATTTATCTGATTTACACATTTGAATTAGGTAAGTTTACAATGAGTTATTAATTGCTGATTTTCTGTAAGTTTATGATGACTAAATTCAAAGAATATAAAGAAATAGAAACCTTTGCTACAGTGACAAGTATGTAACAATAAAACATTCAAGTTCGTATATAGTGCATGAATCATTGCATAGTATCTAAATGAGAATAAAAATCAAGGTTCCCCAATTTTTAAAACAAATCGACTCCTATACACCTAGACGGCAAGCATAGCACATAATTTAATGTGAATCAACAGGTGGGTGTTGATAAGTGTTTTGGAAATATCTGAATGGTAATAACATCAAATTGTTGGAATTTTACACAATTACTCAGATTTTGACATTCTATAGGTGTTGTTACAAAGCTTCGATTTCATTTATATCTTAGGCAAATAAATACATATGATATCAAAATTAGGCAAATACAAAGTGTTCGTATTTTACCTTGCCCTACCACGATGTTTATTGGTGATTCGAAAAGACAACAAACTGCAGCCTACTGTTATGAACAGAGGTTCTTCGAATGTCTTCAGATAAATTCAGGCTTGCATTAAGCTAATTCCTTCTTAATTCATTTTGATATAAAAGTAGTCCTTAACATATGTCCTGCAGAAAATTATTTTACCTAGAAGCATGTATAAGTGCAACGAAAAACGTTTGTTTATAATAGACTGAACAGAGCAGCCATATTGCTCAATCTTTACATAAACGTGTACATGCAAAGTCAAATTAGTGCCCTGTTTTATTTCATATTCTCTACTTTCACAT